TAGCTTAACTAGTTACTTAGGGTCTTCCAACTTTGACGATTGATAACGGCCATCTTGTTGAAGCTACATCTGTCAAAGCAGTTGTCATTTATTCAGTCTGTTTTGCCAAATCACCATGAATGGATATAGCCTTCAACAACACTTGCGAATGATAAAATTGTTTTATCAAAATGGGTGTTTTGTTCGAGCAACGCCGCGTGCTTCGCACATTTTACGGTCGCCATTATCGTCCTACCGAGAGGACTATCCGCAATGCGGTGGATAAATTTGAGTCTACTGGTCCAGTAAACGATTGACCAACACCTGTACGTCGACGAAACGCAAGATCTGCCAAAAATATCGCCGCTGTCTATGACAGTGTGCACCTGTAGAAAATTCAACTGAACCAGAAACTGAAGGTGAACGACCACAGACAACGACGTGTGTACTCTGAATGGAATTTGGAGCAGTTGGCAATTAACACCAATCATCTTCAGCGATGAGGTACATTTCTGGATGAATGAGTACGTAAACAAACAAAATTGTCGAATTTGGGACGATACCAATCCACGTGAGATCCAAGAGCGTCCAATGTAACCCGAAAAATTCACTGTTTGGTGTGGATTTCGGGCTGGCGTCATTATTTTTGTAGTGAATTGTAATCCAAATTCGTTATTTGTCAATCGGTCATACCTACATTGGAAAATTAAACTTTTTTATTACATTTTCTATATACATATTCATTCTTTACCGTTATAATAATTCACTGTTTTTTTGTTTTTCATGTATACTTCCTTTTTCATTATTTTCAATATTTATTTTAAAATGGAGTATAATATGGAATTTTGACTACAAAATTATTCAAAATTATGTTCTAAGAAAAAGAGCTTTTCAGTGCAATTTCATTCATTTTTTTTCTTAATGATATATAAAAATGTTTCATTAAATTAATTCCCGAAATGTTAGAATAATACTTGAATTATTATTATTAGAATATGGAAAGCAATATCTATAAATCTATATGATGTTCATTGAAACGTTCCGCTGCCACTTTGGTATCTTATATATTTGTTGTTATATATTTAAAAATGCTAGCTACATTATTTATAATTTTTTTCCAAAGTTGTAATGGAATTGATATGATCTCCCTTAGATGAAATTCATAACCTTGTTTTCTATTCCTAGGCAGCAAATTTTACATGTTTTTAAATATCAATTTTATGATACCTCCTAATAATTATCCTACCCTATTTTTCATATACTTTGAATTCCAACTAGAATTACAACTAGTGTAAATAATAAAAGTCATATTTTCAGTCTACTTATATGAATATTTCTAATGATATATTCTCCTAACACACCAGAACATTTTTCTTTAATCTCTGTATACAATTTTCTACTGTCAGCACTCATATACATCTCGTTTTAATACCTGCTTTCCAATTATTGTTCAGCTGATAGTTTAATAGTTTATGGACTGTGGATAATATATTGATGATAAGTGATGAAGTGACGAATGAGAGATGTATTTGAGTGCTAAATAAAAAAATGACGAAAATATTTTATTTCCGACGTTTACACATGTGTTTGTCTTATCATTTTAGTGCAGTTCGCCATAATAAAAATTCAAATGATCAAGGATTTATAGACATATTCTGGATAATGTAGTATTCCTTAACATTGTTCTTTCAATTTGTTTTCAACTCTCGTAAGCCAATGCTCAAATGGAGTTTCGGAAAGGGTCAACATAAAAAACCGAGAAAGCAGATATTGCAAGGACTTCTTCCAAGACTCAAAGAAAAATTTACCAATAGTTCTATATCTTTATCTGATATAGTTGAAATGGGATAAAAAAAGCTGATATAGTTGACCGGCAAACCGGCATACAAGGAACCATAAAGCAGGAAAGAATAAAACTCCCACTTGTTTTAGATGCAGCATGAGCATAAGCAAAGAACATAATGGTGAACCCTGTCCATTTGAATAGTCAACTTGTTACGGATGTGGTGTTAAAGGACACCTTTCTATTGCCTGTAAATATAAAGAGTTTATTTGTCACAATTGTAAAAAACATAAGTTGTGCAAAGAAAAGAAAACTAATAAAAAAAAAATACTTCTGCAACTTAATATTCCATTTTTCATTATTATGAATGTGATAGATAATGACAAATGTTCTATTTTCATTGATCAGTTATAATTTTGATATTCGTGAATAAGCAGTTTGATTACGAGCAGTTTGAGAAATAGAATAGAATTTTAGGATTTATGCAAATATACACATAACGTACATGATTGGTTATCTTTGATATAGTATAACCCTAAAAGAGAGCCTTGTAGAATAGTAATATAGGACGATATAGATTCGTTTTTTTAGTTGACATGTGTTTCATGCAACTACAATTTCAGCACAACATTGTTGAGAAACTGTCAAAATTAATGGCATTATCTAGACTACTGTCTGGGACCTCCCTTGTTCTTAGCATACTGAATCCAAAAGTAATCTATCTATGAATTATTATTTTGAAAATGTATATATAGTTGAATCTGTATTCTCAAATAACCACTTAAAATTAGTAATTTTGTGAAATTGAAGCCTACACACGTAAGAATTTCCGCTCCTCAATTGTATTCTTAAATCCTTTAATTATTTCGCTCGTCACGGATTTTGATAATCTAATTTGACCAGCTAGCACGGTCAATATAGGTTTCACATACACAGTTTATTATATAGTAACATGCAAACTTGGGGATATACGAGTACAGGTCAAAATGTACATTATAAAGTCGGATTATATCCGATTATATCCGACAGGTGTCGTGTGTAGCAGGAGTAGTTGTTTTCCTACACATTAACCTAACCTACACATTAACCTAAAGGACTTGTTCTTTTAGATAACTTGATTCATAACCAGTCTCGAAGTATGCCCACTCAGTTTGTGAAGTTTTCTTCTTTATACGAGGAATTTGGCAAATTTCGGATATGTGATTGGTTACCCTCGTTCGCAGGCAGATGCAGCAATGACAAATATGTCGTTTGTCGTTGGCTTCAGCCTAGTTCAAGGAATGATACTCTGAAGGAGTTCGATTTTCAATTATCGGAAATCATCGACTTTATGTTGATGATAGACACTTCCTTACACTGATGAGTGGCCAAACAGCCCGAAACCAGTCTGCGTGTTCCAATCATTGAAAATCGATTGCGGCAGTTGTATCACCAACAGCATATGCAGGAATAACTTCAGTGAAGAGTCCGGCACCTTCGTGGTATTAGCCACGAAGTAGCTGATTTCTGATAGGTGTTAGTTCATTAATCTACAGAGTAGGTAATTTGAGGATGGCCTGAACGAATTGTTCTTTTAGATAACTTTCTTATTGATTTTTGATTTTTTGCAAATAATTTATTTTCGTTCTAAAAACTAGACATCGCTAAATATATTCAATTTTCAGTTGAATATCACTTAAACCCTGTTGGTGACAACTATGAAACAAGAGAATAAAATGAACGAAAATGCGTGACAAGTCGTACAAGAGAGTAGGGACTAATTACTTCGTTTTTATATAATCAACTCCCTGTATTTTGGTTACTACGCAGGGTTCTGGGATGATATTCGGCAGGAATCTTTTTTTCCATGGGTAGGTCCAGAGTGAGCGGGTCTATTCGAGCCGCCACTGCAACCCGTGAAGGTTTCTTGTGGGTCACATCTACGCATCTATTCAAATTCGACTGAATTAATCCAGTTTCCCAACGAACCGATTATTTGGTGAGTGATCTTTGAGGTCGGATGGCAAGAGCTGAAAGTCTAATCTGGTAATCGAAGCAACAGACACAGAGTAAAGTTGACAGATCATGGTACATTTTTCTCAGTCTAATGAAGGACCTGTTCTGTGGTCAGTCTGCAACTACCTTCACCATCAACACAAATGTGTGGCTTGAGAAATTGGTCGCCTGTGACACATTTCGGAAAAACGCACTCCCTTGGCTGCACGGTACTTACTGCAGCCACCAACTCTCTTGATCCTCTCCGGGAGTCTGAATATGCATTAGGCCGGAATGTTCATCATTGGAATCGTACCTGTGAACCATCTTCTGGAATATCCTCTATGGCAGCTATAAAATCATACTGAAATTCCGGTTGATTCGTCAATATTGAGTTTGTCGGATGTTCAAGGTGCAAGAATGTTACCTTGATGAAGGCATCTGCAGGTAAGCTATGCCTGACATCACATAAGATTCAGTCGTGTAAGGTTTTTTGTCTCTGGTTTGAGTAAATTATTGTTTGAACCTAAGTATGTGCCGACTTGCTCTCCTGGTGCAGATTCTGCCTCTGCCGCTCAAGAATTCATTGCAAAGTGTATTCATAAGACATACTACTCTCGAGGAGGAGATAAGTCGCTTACTGGCTGCACCACATAGCATTCTAGGTTTGTTAACAGAGTAAAAGTTGAAGAACTAAGAAGATTCTACTAGGGATAGGAGGATGAAACGATTCCGTTAATGTCACTGAGTGGGATCAGAGTTATACGTCCTTTCATCACGGATACAAACATCTTGATATGAGGTGTCATTCACGAGGACTCTTTTCGTGTGCCACCACACCTGGCAGGGGCATTCTAACACTCCCGTGCCTATATACTTAGAACTGATAGCAGAGCGATTACTGGGGGGTTATTATTGTCCCACGATAAGTAGATATCAAACCGGATTAAAGATATGGCACGGATAAGACAAAAAACTGAAAAAATCTTTCAAAGTGCAAGGAAGTCAAGTATATGAAGCCAGTTTGAAAAGTTCCTCACTGAATACACCAACATCAACTAGATACATTGAAATTTCGAGATCAAAGTCGAAATTTCTACTTTTAAAGTCATAATTACTCACGAAACAAAAGGAATATGTAATTCTGTTTCGCTACCGAGATTTTGTAATGGAGTTAATGGTAGATTTATCAAAATTTTGACTCATATCACTGTGCTAATCCTAGTAGTTCTTAGTAGCGTTATTCGACCATGGCGCGAGTTAAAACTAATAGAGTTGATATCATTCCGTGTTTTGACTCCAATGTCGGCGCAATGCTGTCCTAGAAAACGGAAGAGAAAGCGAAAATACGACGATTTTCCAACCTGTGTCGGTGCACGTTTCATTCCAGTTGTACAGTGTGAAGGCCCGGGGCTCTTCCAGCTGGCAAGGTCGAAATTATCGTCTGTTGACGGTGTTTTGTTTTTGTAGGCGAGTTAAATTGTTATAATTGTTTTATTAAACAAGAACTGGTGCGAAGAATGAGAAAGAGGCCAGTTTGTTGATATGCCATGGGTGGGTGAGTATTGTTAGTGATTAGGCATATTCAGACAGTTTTTTTTTTAATTTTTCGCTAGAAAGTTTCAATAAGCTTCGCGTGGTTTTGCTAAATTATCGCTAACTACTAAGATAATCCATGAAATAGTCAGTTTTCATAAAAAATCTGTTTAAAATCTGTTTTTCCGTTAATCAGCTGTCGCCCCCATACGAACGACAACTCTCAGAAGTTAAGAAACTAACGAGGTCTAACGAGGTCTTATCTTTTAACGTGTGATTCCTAACACGATTGCAGAATCATCCCACGGCCTTCCGATCGTGAGTCGGACGCACTACCACCGCGGCCAATTCCACAACGATATATAATCAAACTTTGAATGCATCAAACATGGAGTTTCTCTGGGCTGTGCCCTAGGCCTGCTATTCATAACACAAGAAAGTTTGGACTGGTTTTTATGATTTTTTGGTTTGTTGAATACGTCGCCACCCGGAATATTCGAAATTTAATCTCTAAGCATTCATCTCTCCCAATGTATCTACCCAGTTGGTTCTGGTAAATGCCTGTCGGAAAACAGCAACTTCTCCGGCTAATACCATGCTGGACATTGAATTATATCCGACAGGCATTTATGCAAGGTAACTCAGAGGTTAGTCTTCGGTTTGTTAGTGATGACAGTTGTCACGGTGTACAAATGAGTATAAGGCATTAGTGATTGTGCGCGAATGAATAGCTGTTATGATAGAAGCACAGTCAGCAATATCCATCAACAAGTGTTATTTATAATGGCGCGAATCGAAAGATCGAACCTTCCACAACGAAGCCGTAATGCAATCAGACTGCAGAATAGTGCGAATCAATCTACGCAGATGAAGAAGAAATGGCACGAGACGAGCGCCTTTTAAAGTGTTGCCAGGTCTATTGTTTTGCAGTAGATCTCAGGTAAGGCGTTCCATCTTGACAGTAGGCAGTTGGGCAAGAACTTTTGCCGTACAGTGGTTCAAAAATTGTCCTGCTTGAGTTTCAGAGACCGGCTCCGCAATGTAATATCCTCCTGCTTGTGAAAAATACCAGAACTATCGACAGAGAATGAGGTGTGTTGGATTCGATTATTGGATTCGTCTGACACTCAGATAGGGTATAGGTTCAATGGAGATAGTGGTTGGTCGTAGGAAAGTGCATTGAAGCTTGCAACCAATCTAGTTTCATTACGTTGAACTCTTTCGAACAGTTGAATGTCTTTCTCCAAATACTGTGACCAAGCATGGACATCGTACTCAGGTTGTGGACAAATCTAAGACTTGTAGAGCTGCATGGACAGCACTGGGTGTGGACAAATCTAAGACTTGTAGACTACATAAAGAGTTTGAGCTCTGAATATCGACTAGATATCAAATTACCGAAAAACTTGTTATCAGCAGCAAATAAAGTTTGATCAGATTTGAGAAGTACATGAATATCCGAGGAATAAGCTAGATATATAAAACATATGCAACAAAGCGTGTACACATTAGTAGAGGGAGCAAGATTATTACAATGGGTGTCATGTAAAGATGGGAGGGAAAACGGAAAACACAGTCAAGCCAATACATATAGAATTCATTATCTCCCACCTGATATTACTTATCTTACTTTTATTTAAGGTCTTATCTGAACAAACACAGTCGATTATTTACCGACAGTGAGTGACGACCTTCTATTTTGTTTCAGGAATACTCAAAATACATGCTCTGGTGATAACATGGCAAAAAAAGTAGAGGATCATGGTGAGTACTAAGCATCACTACAATATTTTTTGTTCATTTATGTCTTGACGTTTGTTTGTTGTGTATGAAATTGAAACGATTTGCACCTTAAATATATTTCAGCGCTTACAGATGATTGTTTTTACTGCATCAATCGAATCATTAATCTTACGATTTTTATCAACCCGGTATCCTTTAGAAGCCAGAAAGATAACAAAAAAGTATACTAATGAGGTAAAAATCTTGTATTGAAAAAATCACAAGTGAAAGACAGTGTGCGGCACCGAAAACGAAACATATCGAATATCTTCAAGATACAATTGTTGACAAAAAATGCAAACACAGGTCGATTTCAAATTCAAAGGAGACCTTTTTCTATCATAACCTTAACTGGTATACCTCTTTCCCCCGCCTCTTGGTGACAATCTCAATTAGAATTTGAGAAGGGGAAAGTATTGAGTGTGTCACATCATCAAGAATAAGTATACAATTTTCATAATAAATATGATTTGAGACTCGACTGGCAATGGCGGTAACAAAACTCATGTTAAATAAAATGTATTGAGAAAATTGTATATCTAATCATTAACATGGATATTGTGGTTATGCACGGTTTGCCATTGTTGGGTACATACAATGTTGCATATCTTTTTGTGATTAATTCACATTGGCTTTCCAATTCCTAATTTGAAATACGAAACAGCAAGAGGCCGCCAAAATGAAAAGTTATGTAATAGTTCGGACTTCCATTGCCTAACATCTGTTCTGTTGAAATCTGTTTTTCCGTTAACCAGCTGTCACACCCCTATGAACGACAACCCTTAGAAGTCGAAACTTGTGCGAGCTAAAGACTAACGAGGTCTTACCTTTTAACGTGTGATTCCTAACACGGGTTGGACGATAGCAAGTGAAAATCGACCGTTCAGCCTGGGGCTCGAACCACCGACCAACACGGTAGTCAATTTGAGTGAGTGAACAAAGCACCCACGTCGAACCGACCGGCTACCGATCGACCGATTCTAATGATTCGAAATCTATGAAAGAACAAATAAAATCAAAATGAATAGCTGAAATATTAATTATATTAAGCAATAAAACGTGAAATGAAGATACAATGAAACGAATAAAGGAGTCAAGATAAAAGATGAAAATGACCATAGGGTAAAAAATAAATGAAAAAGGCTAAGAAATGAAGATATACAAAAAATTAAAAAATATTTCAAACCAAGTTACTTCTCGACGTTTCGATTATTATTAGTATCCACAATCGTTTTCGGGTGATGACTGGACTATTCCTCCGAGAGACTATTTATAGGCCATTCGAGTGCTTTCAGTTTCCTTTCTTCTCTTTGCGCTTCACTGGTTTAGCGGGAGTTGAACGTTTTCCCGCTTGATTACAGAATTTCATATGAGGCCTATCTCTACGCTAGCTTGGCTGAATGTGTCTCTAGACAACAAATATGCAGCTTCTTTAAACTTCCTCTCAAACCAGTGTTCCTCCCTGTGGACCACTTGGGACCACTTGATGTTGTGTTGATGAGTCCATACATGTACTGCGGACATGGGGGCCTCTTAATTTCACCGCGCACTCAGGATATCCGGTAAATGCAATTCTTGAAATCGCAGTCCGCGTTTGGTGGATTGGCTTTCGTGGGGCTGCTTCGGATGATGTTTCCCGATCTGAAGCAGGTTCTGATGTTGTACTTCTGCTTCTTATCCTGTCTTCTGACGTACAGAAGGGCAAGAACTGGTTGTGGCGGTTTATCTTCCTTCAGAGGCTCTTGCTTTCTTCTAGATAAAGTCTGTTTCACTATCACTTTGGAGTGAATATCTTCCGTTGAAGATCTTTACTGATGATGCCTAGTTCCAACCATTCCGTTGAAGATCTTTTCTGATGATGCCAAGTTCCTTCCCTAGCTTTCCTTCGTATTACAGAGCCCGAAAGCACGCTCCACTTGAGTCTTGATTGTTGATTATTGGTGGTTGGATTCGTGATTCAGATACTGTCCCGTATGAGTGGGTTTTTGGTATACTTACAGATGTTTCCCACTTAGTGTCGGTGCTCTTCACTAATTGACAATTCGTTGTGGATTTCCTTCTCCATTGTGAAGGTGATGGAAGGTTTTACGGTATTGATTTGCTTCAGGAAGATGTCTAGTTCTGTATTCCCATGGTTCCGAAGGTGTCGTCAACATATCTCAACTAGACTCGGGGCTTCTTGTGGGATTTCTTCAATGGTCAGAGTTTCAAACCACTCCATATATATGTTGGCTATAACTGGTGATAGTGGCGATACCCATTGGCAATCCCTCATCTTAAGTAAATAATTCGTCCTTCAGAGTGTCGGGAAGGATAAAAAAATTGGGTCCAAGTACAACATTAGAAGCTGCTTCAGGTTCGGAAACACCAGCCTCACGAAAACCAGGCGGACTGTGATTCCAAGAATTTCATTAACCGGATACCCTGTGAGTGAAACTAAGAAATCATTGAAAGTTCACATTGCCGGGCACAATAGAAACACACAGCGAGGAGAAACCAGCAAATTGAAAATCACATAGCATGTTCCGACTCATTAACATAACATCAAGTGGTCCCAAACTGGGATAATTCACAAGGAGAAACACTGGTTCAAGAGGAAATTCAAAGAAGCTGCATATATGTTGTCCATCGATACATTCAGCTAAGCTAGTGTAGAGCTACACAATATATGGAAACCCGTAATCAAGCTGGAGACCGGTCAACTCCCGCTAAACCGGTGAAGCGGAGACGGAGAGAGGAAAAAGAGGATAGGTGAAAGCGCTCGAATGACCTATAAATAGTCATCTCTCGGAGGAAAAGAAGTGGAGCCGAAATATACGTTTTTCCAAGAAACTCACTCTCCTACTTTTGACTAGTTTTTCAATAATTTTTGATAACGTTGATTAAATTTTGTTTAAAGCTTGAAGAACTTCATCAGGCAATTGTGAAAACAACTTTGCTGATAGGTTGTCTTCACCAGCAGAATTTTCGTTTTTTATTTCTTATATTACTAACTTCAGCTCACTCAAATCTATCATATAATAATAAGGAATTCATAGGAGAACTTACCTTACTCAAATTTTGAAGCAGGTTAACTGTTGGAATTATATTGTTGGTTAATTCTGAGGCTATCGAACAATAATTATCATTCAACTGATTCAGGTTTATCTTTATTTCCGGATGGTTCTGTTTCTTATTGCTTCTCAAGTCATTTACTATTGCCCACATTTCTTTTTGTTTATTTTCTACTTCATTCAGTCTATTATTATATCTTTGGCTAGTTTAATAGTTTGTCTGTAGATACGACGAAAATTATTAAAGTGTGACAATGAAAGCATATTGTCACTGTGGAATTTTCAAATGGTATGTAGGCACGTTAGATTTTTCGAAGAAATTTTAAGTCTTTCAGTAATCCAAGGTTTGGATTATTTCCGTTTTATCAAGCACAGGGGAAAGGCCTTGCTAACTCAATCACAAGTAAGTTTCTGAAATTCATTTACTGGATCTTCTGTTCCGTGTATAGAATTCCAATCTGTGGTTTGATAGTTATTTTGAAATTTTGAAATTGAAATTCATCAGATAATTTGGTCCACCTTGTAAGCCTTTGAATACATACATACATGAAATAATACCAATTAAATTTTCTAATATTTGTTTGAAAAAAATATCTCGCTGTTGAACTCATCAGGATGAATCACCAGTGAACTTATTTCAAAAGAGATACACGCGTGTTGACGTCTATTGGTTTTATTGCCTGACACAGGATCAACTAAAGTGGTAATTAGTAGAAATATTCGATAAAATGCCATTGCTTAAAATAATAGTTCTATACACAGAATACTCCAAATGAGTAAATAATGATTCAGCGAACAGATAAAATTTCTAATGAGAGTTTTCTGTTTCTTCTGTTCCTAATTATGTTATATAGAGGGACCCGGAAAAATCTAAGTTAACACCATTCTGCAAGAACGTTATTTCGTTTTCTAGTAGTTTTCTGAAATTTGATTCATTCACGTTGCAAAAAATTCTATATCTCCCTATTTTCTTAGTTTCTAATATGTTTTTGGTGGATATTCATGTTCAACGACGCACCGTGTTAGGAATCACACGTTAAAAGGTAAGACCTCGTTAGTCCTTAGCTCGCACAAGTTTCTCAACTTCTGAGAGTTGTCGTTCGTATGGGGGTTGCAGCTGATTAACGAAAAAACAGATTTTAAACAGATTTTTAAACAGTAACAGACGGAAGTGAGGTCAAACCCCATTTAGTCAAAAATACATAAACCACAAATATCGTTATTTGTGTAACGCGTTACAGCGCCAGTCTGTCTGGCTTTCTTCACCTAATATGTATTTCGATTTCATAAAGGGTCTTTCAACAGGAACTTGCGAACTTTGACAATTGATAACGGCCATCTTGTTGAAGCTACATCTGTACAATCAGTTGTAATTTTTTCAGTCTGTTCCACCAAATCACCATGTACGAATATAGCATTCAACAATACGTGCAAATAATAAAATTGTTTCATCAAAATGGGTGTTTTGTTCAGGAAAAGTGCCGCTTCGCAACGTCCGTTTTACGGTCGCCATAATCGTTCTACCGAGAGAACAATGCGCAATGTGATGGATACATTTAAATCCACCGGTTCATTAAAAGATCGGCCAACACCTGCAAGATCTGCCGAAAATATCGCCGCTATCTGTGAGAGTATGCAGGAGAACCCAAGGCAGTCGACAAGAACTCGACCTTTCGCAGACCACAACTTGGCAAATTTTGCTTCGTGCCTGCCCACGTACAAAATTCAACTGACCCAGGAACTGAAGGTAAACGACCATAGACAACGACGTGTGTTCGCTGAATGGGCTCTGGAGTTAGGCATGTATGGGTTAGGTTAGGTTAGGTCCAAAGTGAGTGGGTCTAATCGACCCTCCACCGCAACCCGCAAGGGTTTATTGTGGCTCACACCTATTCACACTCGACCAAATAAACCCAGCTTTTTAACAAA